AAAAAAAAAAAAAAAAAGCAGCTCCCCTCGGGAGTTGCTATGACCTGGAGGAGGGGAAAAGAACTTCCTAGAGACACAGAATCCTTTTGAAAGAAAAATCTGGCAGAGATGTAAAAAAGCTTTACTGCATTCCCCTAGGACACTTGGGTGAGCTCAGGATCTGCATTCCTCAACCAATAAGCGGTGCTCAGGAATGTCACCCGGTGTGAGGACAAAGCCAGGCTCAGGTGTCCTGGCCATGGGCATGGCTGCTTAAGCATCTACTGGTCCTCTTTGGCTGGTCCTCCCACCTCTTCCTCGTCTTTGGGGCCTAGGAAGCAGAAGCCTGGCCAGCCCTGACTGTGCCCCAGCCTGCTGACACCTGGCCAGAATCAACAGGGGACATCACCCAAGTGGGACACATGCAACCTGTCACGTATGCAGCAGAGGCAGCTGGAGGCCTTAATCTCAACATGAGCTCCCACGCTGGCGGGGGACCAGCTGCAGCCAGCCCAGGCTTCCTTGGCAGCCAGCCAGCCAGCAAGGCTCAGAGACTTTGCTTCCTAATATGGGACAGAGACAGTGTGAAGCCTTCTGGTTTTAAAAGACCTGCCCCGGATCCCCTCCTCCCACCAAATCCCCCAGAGATGGGCCTCTGTGCTAATTCTATCCCTGTTCGGCTGAAAACTTTTCCACTCAGCAGTCAATCTGCAGTGTCTTGGTATTATTTGCTTTTCAACACAGCCAGTCCCTTGGCCCAGACTGAGGTCCTGCCTGGAACCCTGCATCTCCAGGACTGCTATTTTCTGAATTAGAATTTAGAGGCCTTTTGGGGTTCCAAAGTACGTGGACAGCTTACAGGGATGGTCTAATTTGCGCAAGTGCTAAGTATATAACTATAAATTCCTGACTCGCAAATTTAGTGCTCTCCTCAACAGCACAGAGGCTGCTGCTCTCTGTCCCTTGTCCCTCCCTACTCTGCCCCTCCTGTCCTCCTAGCATGTCCCTCCACCTGCCTGAGGATGAGCACAGTTGCCTAAATACCCTTACTCCTAAACCAGAGTATGCATATCCTGGAGGTATGTATGCACGTATGTAATGTAAGCAGTAATTCATCATCTAGAACCTTCCTGCAAATACTACATCTTTTCTTAGGCTTATAAAGCAATAATGAAAAATTCATTTGGTTTTCAATAATTATGTAGGGTGTGTACCTGAAGGCACAGGGACTCTAAAAGAAAAGTGGACAGGAATGATGGCAATGATGGTGGCACAAACAGATGCAGGTTCCCATTGCTCTTTACTCAGAATTAATTCTCTAACTTTTACACTGCTTTGGTGAAATTCCTAAACTGCTTCTGAAATCACAGCTGCTCCTGTTTGGGTGATCAGCCTCAGGGAGCCCCGCTGTCGCTGTCGCAGGATCCTCCAGCTGAATGGTGCCCTGGGGGATGGCTGTAAGCAGCCTTCCCCCCTCAGCCACCATCCAGTGCACAGCCTGGCTCTGCCCAACGCACTTTTCATTGTTGGGGAACCCGCTCGCTCCTGGACCTTTGCTCATTGCTAGAGAGTTGTTCTTTTCTTTTCTTTTCTTTTTATTTTTTTAATGTTTATTTATTTTTTGAGAGAGAGAGGGAGAGAGAGAGAGAGAGAGAGAGAGAGAGAACAAGCGGGGGAGGGGCAGAGACAGAAGGAGACAAGAGCATCTGAAGCGGGCTGTGCTCTGACAGCCTAACTTGGAGCTGGAACTCACGAACCCTGATATCATGAACTGAGCCGAAGTCAGACGTTTAACTGAATGAGCTACCCAGGCACCCCAAAAGTTGTTCTTTTCTAACAAAAACTACCTCTCATGCAAACTCCATCCAGTGTTCTGATTTCTTCCTTCCCTCTGGCTTCTACAGATTAAACCCCTTTCCTTCTCTGGATGACAGGCACTTCAAAGATGTGCCAGGAATCTCTTGAGATCCTTCCCTCTTGGGCCCTTTGCCCTGCTCCCCACTAAGTCGTGCCACCCAGAGTGTCTCTTCTCCAGACGGGTGAGTCTGCAGACCTGCCACCACCGTGTGGCCTCTGGGGGCTTGGGGCGGGGCTTAGCCGCTGAGCAAACACATGGGTTTTTCTGCGATTCCATATATAGCCCAGCTGCTAACCACAGACGAAGGGAGTCCTCTGTGGAGTGTGGTTGCCAGAAAGGAACCCTAAAAGGTGGTAGTACTTTTTCTGGTAGAGCGCTGTGGTTTCGTGCGGGTGAATCTTGTGCCCGGAGGTCTTCTCTGTCTTCCCTGGATCTTCCAATTGCTCGGGCCAGAGTCTTCAGAATCACCCACAGCTCCTCTCTTTCTCTGCCACCCACATGGGTTTCCTCAGTAAATCATATGAGCTCTTCTTTCAAAATCTATGCAGAATCCAATCTCTCTTCTCACCTCCCCCATCCACTACAGGCCCGAGTGGTCTCCTACCTGGTCTTAACTGCTTATACTCTCTGTCCCTACAGTCTTTTTTCAGAGGGCGGCCGGAAGGATCTTCTTAACATGTATACATGATCAGGCCACTCCTCTGGGGAGGAGGCTCTCATGACCTGCGACCCTTTCCAAGTGGAAGCCAGTGTCTCCCCACCATGGCCTGTGAGGCCATCCCCAATTCATGTCCTTCCCCCACTTCCTGTGGTTCTGTCTCCCTACAGCCCCTTGGGCTTCCTCGCAGTTTCTCGAATGTGGGGCCCAGCCCTCAAAGCAGCTCCCCATCTACTTCAGGTCTTTGCCCAAAGGTCACCTTTGCAGCAAGGCCTGCCTTGACCACCCTACTTAAAACTGCCAACGGCAGGGGCGCCTGGGTGGCGCAGTCGGTTAAGCGTCCGACTTCAGCCAGGTCACGATCTCGCGGTCCGTGAGTTCGAGCCCTGCGTCAGGCTCTGGGCTGATGGCTCAGAGCCTGGAGCCTGTTTCCGATTCTGTGTCTCCCTCTCTCTCTGCCCCTCCCCCGTTCATGCTCTGTCTCTCTCTGTCCCAAAAATAAACCTTGAAAAAAAATTTTTTTTTAAATAAAAAAACTGCCAACGGCAGTTGTGCCAACGGCACAAGCCCAGCCCCACCTGGCCCAGCCCAGCCCTGCTGTCCATCCCCTTCCCCGCCTGCATTCTCTCTGTGGCATCAGCACACACAATGCACGCACAGTGAAGTATCTCATGCATTGTCTGCCTGTCCTGGTGAGGCCCATAAGCTCCACAACGTGAGTTCGGTTTCCTTGGTTCTCCTTCATCCCCAGCGTCTAACACACTGCCTGCACATAGAAGGTTCTCAGTGACTACCTGTCGAATGATTGACTGATTGCTCTAGGAGTCACACACGTCATGCTTTCCCTGTGTCCCTTCCAGGGAGAATACCAGGTCTTGCTGGAACTGTATAATGAGAAGCGCTCCACCGTGGCCTGTGCCAATGCTACGGTCATTTGCTCCTGAGAAGCTAAGACGCGGAGCACGCTCTGTCTTGTGGGAACTGCAGGCTGCCCACACTGAACCTGCTCTGGAAGAAACACCAGTAGACAACAGAGAGGCTCATCAGAGGTGCAGGTGCAGATTTTAGCCCCGGGGGCCAGACGTCCCCAGACTCCACAGGTGTACGTGCTTCTAAAGGAGCCTCCTGATGGTCACCAGCCCGTGGGTCCACCCTCCTCCAAACGGCCAGGCTCTCCTGCTTCTCAGCTCCTCGGGAGCACTTCTTCAGTTACCCAGAATAAAGAAATCTGGCCCACAGTCGCTCCTGATGGTCTGTTCAAAGGATCTTAGTGCCATACTTGAGTTACAATGTAATTTCCTCCAGACAGGGTGCCAGGTGCTGGTGCAGCGTAAGTAGTTCTGAGATGCAGGAAGCTGACGTCCTGAGGATATTGGGAAAATATGCCCCTTCTCCTCCTCCTTCTCCCAGGCAAGTCCCAGGCCCTTTGGCCGCGAGGGCCGAGGAGCCGATGAAACCCTACAGAGTGACATCAAAGTCCCACCTACCAAACCTCATTACATCTTCACCCCAAAAGCCTTGGCTACCCCTGGCCTCAGCACACCATGGCTCTCAGTAATGCATTCATTCATTCTCCATGTGTAACTACTGAACACTTAAGTACCAGGCCCTGTGCTCAGCACTTAGGATTCTCTGGGGAGCAAAACAGACACTGTCCCTGCCTCGTCAAGTGTGCGGTCCCTTGAAATATTAAAAAGTCATGTTGATCGGTGTGGACACATCCATTCACTCACAGAAACATCTCCTTCAATGCCCCCTGCAAAGGAGCCGGTTGCTGTCTGCTGTTAGAGCCGTTTTGGCAGCCCTGTCTTTTTCTGTCCCAGGATGTGCAGAATTGCACGGTGGGCTCCACATCCCTGACACCATCCTGTGCCCTCCTCCCCTACCCCAATCCTTCCAGTGTCCCTCAGCCCAGCATCTGGCCCTCTTGCTCCTACTGGGGAACTGGCATAGGGTGACTGGGTTGACTTTGTAGGTCTTTGATATCCACACAAATGCCACTATGTTAGAGATTAAGACAGGAAAACTACAGAGTTTAAAAATGTTCATTGCTATTAATTACCATCCGCACATAATTAAACTACCCAGAATAGCAGGCTGTAAATGCCTGGGGAATTAAAACTTTAAAACCAGCATCTGAGGTTTTTTTGGCTATGGAGAAACAAAATTATAGCAGTGTCCTCACCTACACCCATAAATGCTCGGGAGAAAAGACATACTGTGGTTATGCCCCGCTGGGGAGCAAACCTCTAAATCCACACACGGGGGTGATCCTGTTATGTACATAGATGGCATTCCCTCAAGAGAGACATGCCCGTTTCCTTTCCCATAACATGCAGTAAAAGTCGTGTGGAGATTCTGAGCACTCACACGTTCCAACAGCTCAGGACAGTGGTCACAGCCTTCCAGAGGCAGGGACAAGTAGAAACAATCTCACTTCTTATTTTTCTGCAATTTCCCTTCCTATTCTTTTGTCCTCTTAAAATTCATTGACAATGCGTGTATACGTGCACGCACGCACCTGCGCGTGAGCATGAGACAGAGAGAGAGAGAGAAAGAGAGAGAGGTTCAGATCTCTGGGTTTGGGTTAAACAGGGGTTTCCATGTACGGGGCTGGCCCTAGCCATGACTGAGTACTCATGAATACACAGAGGCTGCACTAAAGGATTGACTTGAGAGGAAACCAAAATGTTTCTGTGTCCTGTCACGGGCCTTAAATTTCACCATGAGTTTCATTCCTGCAAGCTGAGAAAGTTTTTCACTGGTTCCGCGTCTCCTATTAAAACACAAACTGGGGCCGCCTGGGTGGCTCAAATCACTTAAGCATCCAACTTCGGCTCAGGTCATGATCTCGCAGTTTGTGAATTTGAGCCCCACGTCGGGCTCTGTGCTGACAGAGTGGAACCTGCTTGGGATTCTCTGTCTTTCCTTCTCTCTCTGCCCCTCCCTGCCCTCTCTCTCTCAAAAATAAATAAGTAAATGAACATTTAAAAAAAATAGTAAAATAAAACACAAACCATCTTGGTCAGAGAAATGCCAGAATAATTATCACTATTAAACACTCTGGCAGAAAATTAATAACTAAGATGAAGTTTGGAACTGCCCCTGCAGGAAGCAAGAGTTATTCAGGGAGGGGGCTGGGCAATACCAAGGCAAGCTCTCTTGGGGTAACCCCCCACGTGTGGGGAGGGGGGTACACTGACAAAGAACTTAAGTTGTGTCTCATCTTCTCACAGAGTTTGCTGTTGTTTCAAAATCACTATAAAACATCCTAAATAAACTTCTCAATAAAATTCCCTGAAAAAAAAATCAGTTTGATTCAAGATGATGCTATGTTTCCAAAGAACTCTTGTGGAAACAAGACAGTTCCAGGCATTTTGGTGCCCACAGGCCTCTCTTTATATTTTAAATCTCTGTGTTTACATATACAGTTAACCCTTGAACAACACGAGGATTAGAGGCACCAACCCCTCATGCAAGTAAAAACCCACATATAACTTTTGATTCTCCAAAAACTCAACTACGAAGATCCTACCGTTGATCAGAAGCCTTACCAATCACACAATAAGTTAATACATATTTTGTATGTTATATGTATTAAATGTTGTATTCATACAACAGAGTAAGCTAGAGAAAAGAAAATGTTAAGAAAACATAAGGAAAAGAAAATACACTTACAATACTGCACTCTATTGAAAAAAAATCAGCAAAGACATGGGCACTGGCAGTTCAAACCCATGTTCCATTTTCAATTACACATATGCAGGGTGTAATTGTTCCAGGGTGTGTATCTATATATTTGGTGGGAAGGGCCCAAGGCCAGCACTCAAGCACAAAGCTGAAGATCCATTTGGGCAGTGTGACCAGGTCACTTAGAATGTTTGAGCATAAGGAACAGAGACTCAACTCAGTCTTAGACATACAGGGGCCTCCTTGGCCCCTTGATTGCTGAGCCCCCACGTGTTTCTGGCACCAGCTTTGGTTTGCCGCAGACACTAACACTTCTCATGGTGTTTCACCTCTATTTCTCCATGGTTCTTGCACCTCTGGCCCTCTGAATACTGCTTTCACTCTCAGTCTTTCCTATAACAGCAAATAGTTTCACACCCTGTCCAGTGTACAAAAGGAGAGAGACACCCTTGTCCCAAAGCCCTGCATTCCTTCTACCTGCAAAGGCTTGGGTCACATGACCTCTCCGGGCCCTTTGCTTTGGCCCTGCACTGATTGCCTTAACCTAGGTCATGTGACCCGGTACTGCGCGGATCAGCCTTAACCGGGCTGGAACCACACTTGTCCCTAAGTGTAAACTGGGGGAGTTGGAGAGGGGTAAAAGGAGAAAGGGGGGAAAGATGCCAGGAGGCCCTAGCATGTCTGGAATTAGATCAGCACTGCAGTCCTAACCCTCCCCTAGCTGCTAACCGAGTGAGTGACTTAATTCTCTAACCTTGGCTTGCTCACCTGCAAGTGTCAGCGGTGACACCTGCCTTATAGAAGTACTGAGACTTAAGAATGCATGGCAGACACTTAGAACAGAGCTTGGCAGGTGACTCAATAAAAGGAAGTTATTATGCCGAGGTGGTGCCTAGTCCCTTTGGGCTGCTGTGACAAGAGTCCCTTAACCCGAATGTGTTGTAAACAATAGACATTTATTTCTTACAGAATTTTGGAGATTGGGAAGCCCAAGATCAAGGTGCTGGCAGATTCAGTGTGTGATGAGATGCTGTTTCCCGGTTTATAGGAGCTGTGTTCTTGAACATGGAGGAAGTGCAAGGCAGCTCTCTGGGACTTTTTTCTTAAGGGCACTAAGCCTATTCATGAGGGCTAGACCCTCATCACCTAATCTCCTCCCAAAGACCCCACCTCCAGATACCATCTCCTTGGGAGTTAGGATTTCAACATGTGACTTAGGAAGGACACAAACCATTTGTCAATAAGAGGTAGGAAGGAGCTAAAGCCCCTTTCCCTAATTTACTTCTCCTGTCCCTCCTACGTGATTGAGGCAGTCTTCCAGCCCTGCCCTTGCCCATAAGCCCACATTCCTTTTTAAGTATTCAGATGATTCCTTGGCATCTAGATTTCTTTCTTCTAAGTGCAGCTAGTTTTATCAGACCTGGGATGGGGTATGTCCACTGAGCCTCGTCCTGGAACCATGAACTCCAAAGAGGATTGAAGAGAAATATCCAGGTCCAAATTTCCCCCAAACAAAAACATTCTTTTTTTTTTTTTTACATTTATTTACTTTTGAGAGACAGAGAGAGACA